CAGTGTTGGGCCCGTTGTTGTTCACAGTTTACATAAACAACATAGATGAGGGAATAAATAGCGACATAAGCAAATTTGTTGATGACACCAAAGTAGGCCGTCCAATTCATTCTAATGAGGACACTAGAGCACTCCAGGATGATTTGAATAGACTGATGCAATAGTCGGAGAAGTGGCAGATGCAGTTTAATATAGACAAATGCAAAGTTCTAAATGTTGGACAGGAAAATAACCATGTGACATATTAACTAAATAATGTAGATCTTAATATTACTGATTGCGAAAAGGATTTAGGAGTTCTGGTTAGCAGTAATCTAAAACCAAGACGGCAGTGCATTAGTGTTCGCAATAAAGCTAACAGAATTCTTGGCTTCATATCTAGAAGTATAAATAATAGAAGCCCTCAGGTTGTTCTTCAACTCTGTATATCCTTAGTTAGGCCTCATTTAGACTATGCTGCTCAGTTCTGGTCACCGTATTACAGAATGGATATAAATGCTCTGGAAAACGTACAGAGGAGGATGACAAAGATGATCCCATGTATCAGAAATCTTCCCTATGAGGATATACTAAGGGCTCTTAATATGCAACCTTGAAAGGCATAGAATTAGGGGGATATGATCGAGGTGTATAAATGGAAAACAGGAATAAATAAAGGGGATGTAAAGGCGATGTAAATAGCATGCTGAAAATTTCCAGCCAAGACAGGACTCGCAGCAATGGTTTCAAGTTGGAAAAATTCAGATTCAGGAAGGATATAGGAAAACACTGGTTTGGTAATAGAGTTGTGGACGAGTGGAACAAACTCCCAAGTACAGTTATTGAGGCTAAAATGTTTAGTTTCAAAAATTGGTTAGATAAATACATGAGTGGGTGTGAGTTGGACCTGACTAGCTTGTACTGCTGGGTCTGGTGCCATGCTCCTTCCTTGAGTGGAGGTGACCTGATTGGGTGGGTCATTGGGCTAATCCGGGAGGGGGGGACATGGACATTCTCCGCATGAGTCATTAGGCCTGTTGCAGTGTTCCTTCTTATGTATATTTATTTATCCTCTTTTTCATAAAATATGTATTACTTATTACCAAACCTCTTTCTACACATAGCTCAATTAAAGGCTCCCCATTTTCATTTACCCCTGGCACCCCAAATTTACCTACTACTCCCTCCACAACATTTTTACCCACTTTAGCATTGAAATCCCCAACCACAAGTACTCTCACACTTGGTTCAAAACTCCCCATGCATTTATTTATTTATTTATTTATTTTGTCTTTGCAAACAGTACATTGAGATTTTATATTTACAATAGTGGGTTGCAATGCAAAGAGAGCCTTTATTATGCCTTGGCATTATGGGCCAACTTAACATTATTGGCTTACAGACTACTTATCACTAAGGATTTTATCATAGTTGTACAGTAGGACAGTAATTATTTCATAGTTGAATAGTAGATTATTAATTATAAGTGAATTAAATTTGTATAAGAAAAAGGATATATTCTTATAGTCTAAAATGCTTTTTATGGAAAACAGTGGTTCAATTATATTCCTGTCAACAATGGATAAAAGGTTCAAAGTGATTGCTGAAGTTATGATGTGGGAGTACATAGGTGAGTATGTGTGTACTGAGTATTTAGCATTTAGTCTAGGGTGATTAAGTGGCTTTTGAGAAGAGTCTTAAACTGGTTTTCAGACTGGGTTATTTTAATATCTTCTGGTAATGAATTAAATATTTTAGGGCCCTTTATGTGCATAGTTTTTTTACACAGTGTGATAAGGACACGAGGTATATCAAAAAGAGATCTGCGTCTTGTGTTGTGGTCATGTGTCCTGTTTAAGTTGGTGAGGAGAAGTTTGAGTGGAGGGTTTATATTTGCGTGTATTGTTCTGTGTATGTAGTAGGCACATGAATAAGTATAGATGTTCTTAATGGTCAGCAGATTCAGACTTTTGAAAATTGGTGGAGTGTGCTGTCGGGAGTGAGAATTCGTTATCATTCTTACTGCTGCCTTTTGCTGGGTTATGAGGGGTTTTAGGTGATTGGATGTTGTTGATCCCCATACACAAATTCCATATGTAAGATAAGGATATGCGAGTGAATGGTACAGTGCCAGGAGAGCGGATTGTGGAACGTAGTACCTTATCTTTGATAGTATGCTTACAGTCTTGGAGATTTTCTTGGTGATTTGTTGTGTGTGTGTCCAGAAATTAAGGCTACTGTCAAGGTGGATACCTAGGAATTTTTCCTCTGTGAGTCTTGTGACTGATGATCCATTTAGCATTATGTTAATAGGATCATTTGCCTTTTTATTTCCAAATTGAATGAAATAGGTTTTATCAGTATTCAGGGTAAGTTTATTAGTCATCATCCAGGCAGATATTTTCTGCAATTCAGCATTAACTGTGTTTGTTAGTATGACCGTGTTTGGGTGGGAAAAGACATATGTAGTGTCATCTGCAAATAATATGGACTTAGTGGCTGTGATGCATTCGGTAGATCATTGATGTAGATGAGAAAGAGGAGTGGTCCAAGGATGCTTCCTTTGCATCATTTGCATACACATATTGAGTTCTTTTACTAAGGTATGATTTTAGGTAGTTGAGGGAGTGGCTTCTGATACCATAGTGCGTTAATTTGGAGTACAGCAGTTCATGGTCGACTGTATCTTAAGCTTTACGTAAATCAATGAAAATGCCCAGCGGGACTTCTTTCTTTTCGAGTGCAGTATATATTAGTTCTAGCATGTGTATGATAGCATCATTCGTGCTTTTATTATTCCTGAATCCAAACTGACAAGGATTTAATATGTTGTGTGAGACGAGGTAGGAATAGATCCGTCTATGCATTAATTTTTCAAAGATTTTAGAGAGCATCTTCCCATCTCCCATCCTGGAGATGGGAAGTACAGTGCCTGCACTCTGAAGGAGGGGTGTTAATGTTGCAGTTTAAAAACTGTAGTGTAAAGCACCCTTCTGGCAAGACAGTGATGGAGTGAATGATGGTGAAAGTTTTTCTTTTTCGGGCCACCCTGCCTTGGTGGGAATCAGCCAGTGTGATAATAAAATAAATAAAATGGTAAGTTAGATATTGGTCTATAGTTATTCAAGTCAGCTTAGTCACCTCCTTTGTGGATCGGAGTGACCCTCGGTATTTTGAGGATTGTTGGGAAGGTAGCTGATTCAATGGATTTGTTAAAGAGCATTGCAATAATTGGTGACAATACTTTAGAAGCTTTTTTGTACATAAAAGCAGGCAAGCTGTTTATGTCTCCTGCCATGTTTTTAAGGGTGTTATGATGAGTGTAACTTCTATAGGGTTGGTTGGAGCTAGGAATAGCGTATTTGGGTAGGTACCTATGAGGTAGTCTGATGGACGGTACACTTGGTATTTTGTTTGCTAGATTTTTACCTATGGTGGAGAAGAAAACATTGAGTTTATTTGCTGTTTCCAAGAATTTCAGATATAGTTTTCCAGTTTTTTTTCATATCACCTTTTATGTTATGTAGTCTATTTTCATAATACAATTTTTTAGATCTTCTTATCAGGCTGATAAGTGCTGACGAGTAACGTTTAGACTGTTCTCTAGTTATTTGACCCATTCTATACTGTTTTTCATATTTGTGTTTTGTGTTAATGGATTTGAGGATGCTTGGTGTTAGCCAGGGATTATTCAGTCTCTTTGCTGTGATCTGTTTAGTTTAGATTTCCCAAAATCTCTCTCTCTCTCCTCTACACTTCTCTCTTCTCCAGGTGCATATATATATATGCTTACTATAACCCACTTTTCATATCCAACTTTTATTTTACTCCACATAATCCTTGAATTAATACATTTATAGTCCCTCTTTTCCTGTCATAGCTTATCCTTTAACATTATTGCTATTCCTTCTTTAGCTCTACCTCTGTTTGAAACCCCTGACCTAATCTTATTTATTCCTCTCCACTGAAACTCTCCCACCCCCTTCAGCTTTGTTTCACTTTAAGCCAGGACATCCAGCTTCTTCTCATTCATGACATCCACAATCATCTCATTCTTATCATCCGCACAACATCCACGCACATTCAGACATCCCGCTTTGACAATTTTCTTCTTATTCGTGTTAGTAATTATTACTGGAAAAGGGGTTACTAGCCCATTGTTCCCGGCATTTTAGTTGACTTTTACAACACGCATAGCTTACAGAGGAAAGATTCTTATTCCATTTCCCCATGGATATAAAAGGAAAAGTAATAAGAACAAGGACTATGAAGATAAAATCAAAGAAAACTCAGATGAGTGTGTATAAATAAACGTGTAAATGTATGTGTAGTGTGACCTAAGTGTAAGTAGAAGTAGCAAGACGTACCTGTAATCTTGCATATTTATGAGACAGACAACAGACACCAGCAATCCTACCATCATGTAAAACAATTACAGGCTTTCGTTTTACACTCGCTTGGCAGGACGGTAGTACCTCCCTGGGTGGTTGCTGTCTACTACAAGCACTAAAAGCAATGGAATAATACAAAATGTATCACATGTATATGTGGAATTGTCAGAACTGGCTTGTAAACAGTGGCACACTGGGTGGCCCGGGCAGCTCAGGCCGTGCAGATATGTTTTGGCCGAATGTCCTTAACTGAATTTTTTATCGTTAGCCGAGTCAGTATTTTGACGTAAAAACGTATCGGTATCCGATTTTATCTCTATCCGATAGCATCATTAACTGAGGGGTCCACTGTATTTTTGACTGGCATGTGAGTTGTGTGCTGTATCTGGTTGTGTGAATTTTTGTTTTAGGGAGTGCCCATAACCTTTCAGTTCTAGTGCTCAAGCAATCCCACAGTCTTTGTCAGTTGTCTATCCATATATTCTCACAGTATACTTTGCTTTTGAAACAAAAAAACAATATTATAGGCTTAGTAAAGAACTTAATCCTGAAATACTTGTGAAGCTGGAATTGATTGTTACTGTAATTACTTATCTTTATTTAAGTATGGAATATATATATTATTTTTAGGATGCTGTAACAAGTGTGATGGCAACCCTTGGCTTTGAAGCAAGCATTCGTAGAAAAATCAAGAGCAAAACAAGTTTAAAACAAGCTCAGCGAGCAGTCCTCATGTGCCCTGGTTCTCCAGAAGCATGGGCGATGCTAGTAGCAGCACAGCTTGCTGCTGGTCACACGCAGGTGAGTGCAAGTCAGAATACGTGCAATCTAGTGACTAAAAGTATTTTAGGTTATATTTTAATGAATTGTAGATAAAAAGTACTTAGGTGTGTAGTCCAGGTAATGCAGTATAATGAAATACAAAATTTGCTATAATGGCTGATTGATATACAAAACATTGGTACTGGTACTGTATGTCTTTGAAATCTTATACAGTATGAGATTATGGTAGCTACTAGTGTTTGTAAGGAAAATGCTGGCTCACACTTACACTGGATAGTTATCAACCTAGAAGATTATTTACTGTTGGCTTGCAAAAAGCTAACTAGGTCATAATAAATGTAATGGAGGTTTTAGTAATATAGTGTCCTGTTGCTGTTTACAATGTAATTGTCAAAATACTCTGTGCAACTCTGTGTAACAAAATCTATGATGAATGTAGATGAAACTGTGCTTTCTTTCATGTTGTAAGAGAAAACATTCCATTAGGGTGGGAGAATGGAGATCAACTTTTGCAAATTAGCAGTAAGCAATGCTTGTAGATCACTCAGACATCACATTTCTTCAAGTGAAGACATGAGGCATTCTGTTTTACTGGAAATTGGGAATGGTAACTACACACTGCAGATTTTCAGTGTAGATTACAGCTTTTATTTTCTTTTGCATTGTAAGTTAGGTTAAGTGAAAAATGCCTGCACCTGCCATTCACTATTTTCAAGCCATGACAAGTAATGTGCTGTCTTGTATTTACTATTACATGTACTGCATTTCAGTATTTTACAGTGTATTGCTAATTATATTTATATTATAATTATATTATATTGCGAGAATATTTTGAGGAACTTTTAAATGTTAAGGAAGAAACAGAGGCAGTAATTTCATGCACTGGTCAGGGAGGTATACCATCTTTTAGGAGTGAAGAAGAGAAGAACGTAAGTGTGGGGGAGGTACGTGAGGCATTACGTAAAATGAAAGGGGGTAAAGCAGCTGGAACTGATGGGATCATGACAGAAATGTTAAAAGCAGGGGGGGATATAGTGTTGGAGTGGTTGGTACTTTTGTTTAATAAATGTATGAAAGAGGGGAAGGTACCTAGGGATTGGCAGAGAGCATGTATAATCCCTTTATATAAAGGGAAAGGGGACAAAAGAGACTGTAAAAATTATAGAGGAATAAGCTTACTGAGTATACCAGGAAAAGTGTACGGTAGGGTTATAATTGAAAGAATTAGAGGTAAGACAGAATGTAGGATTGCGGATGAGCAAGGAGGTTTTAGAGTGGGTAGGGGATGTGTAGATCAGGTGTTTACATTGAAGCATATATGTGAACAGTATTTAGATAAAGATAGGGAAGTTTTTATTGCATTTATGGATTTAGAAAAGGCATATGATAGAGTGGATAGAGGAGCAATGTGGCAGATGTTGCAAGTATATGGAATAGGTGGTAAGTTATTAAATGCTGTAAAGAGTTTTCATGAGGATAGTGAGGCTCAGGTTAGGGTGTGTAGAAGAGAGGGAGACTACTTCCCGGTAAAGGTAGGTCTTAGACAGGGATGTGTAATGTCACCATGGTTGTTTAATATATTTATAGATGGGGTTGTAAAGGAAGTAAATGCTAGGGTGTTTGGGAGAGGGGTGGGATTAAATTATGGGGAATCAAATTCAAAATGGGAATTGACACAGTTACTTTTTGCTGATGATACTGTGCTTATGGGAGATTCTAAAGAAAAATTGCAAAGGTTAGTGGATGAGTTTGGGAATGTGTGTAAAGGTAGAAAGTTGAAAGTGAACATAGAAAAGAGTAAGGTGATGAGGGTGTCAAATGATTTAGATAAAGAAAAATTGGATATCAAATTGGGGAGGAGGAGTATGGAAGAAGTGAATGTTTTCAGATACTTGGGAGTTGACGTGTCGGCGGATGGATTTATGAAGGATGAGGTTAATCATAGAATTGATGAGGGAAAAAAGGTGAGTGGTGCGTTGAGGTATATGTGGAGTCAAAAAACGTTATCTATGGAGGCAAAGAAGGGAATGTATGAAAGTATAGTAGTACCAACACTCTTATATGGGTGTGAAGCTTGGGTGGTAAATGCAGCAGCGAGGAGACGGTTGGAGGCAGTGGAGATGTCCTGTTTAAGGGCAATGTGTGGTGTAAATATTATGCAGAAAATTTGGAGTGTGGAAATTAGGAGAAGGTGTGGAGTTAATAAAAGTATTAGTCAGAGGGCAGAAGAGGGGTTGTTGAGGTGGTTTGGTCATTTAGAGAGAATGGATCAAAGTAGAATGACATGGAAAGCATATAAATCTATAGGGGAAGGAAGGCGGGGTAGGGGTCGTCCTCGAAAGGGTTGGAGAGAGGGGGTAAAGGAGGTTTTGTGGGTAAGGGGCTTGGACTTCCAGCAAGCGTGCGTGAGCGTGTTAGATAGGAGTGAATGGAGACGAATGGTACTTGGGACCTGACGATCTGTTGGAGTGTGAGCAGGGTAATATTTAGTGAAGGGATTCAGGGAAACCGGTTATTTTCATATAGTCGGACTTGAGTCCTGGAAATGGGAAGTACAATGCCTGCACTTTAAAGGAGGGGTTTGGGATATTGGCAGTTTGGAGGGATATGTTGTGTATCTTTATATGTGTATGCTTCTAGACTGTTGTATTCTGAGCACCTCTGCAAAAACAGTGATAATGTGCGAGTGTGGTGAAAGTGTTGAATGATGATGAAAGTATTTTCTTTTTGGGGATTTTCTTTCTTTTTTGGGTCACCCTGCCTCGGTGGGAGACGGCTGACTTGTTAAAAAAAAAAAAAAAAAAAAATCATACTTCATTGCATAACTTGCTCAGTGTTGCTCTACCTCAAATTGGGTCAACGAAGGGAGCCGACGACCTTCGGAATAACCTCTAAGTAGTGACTTCCTTGTATCCACTAAGGTTGTATGGGGAAATGAAATGTAAATTAGTTCAAAACATGATGTTAGTGAGTGAAGGCAAGTGATCTTTGGAATTTGACATACTGTTGGTGTGTAAGTATGGTATAACTTAAGTGATTCAGGAAATCCATTTAGGCAAACTCAAGTTTTGGAGGTGGGTAGTGCAATGTCTGCATTTTGAAAGTCAAGTGGAGATACTGAGATATGTTGGATCATCATTATGCCATGATGTATGTGCCCTTCAAGAAATGAAGCTAGGAACAAGTAATGGAGAATTTTTTCTTCTTTGAATTTCTGCTTTTTGTGGGAGGTTACAGATTTGTTAAAAATAAAGACATGTATGGAATACAGTGGACCCCCGAGTTTCGTGATTAATCCGTTCCAGAGAGTCTGCTGAAAGTAGAAATTCACGAATGGTGAAACCATTTTCCCCATAAGAAATAATGAAAATCCAATTAATCCATTCCAGACACCCAAAAATATTAAAAAAAAAAAAGTTTTTCAAATTAAATAAAGATTTATATAGAGAAATCAAGTACATAAATATATAAAATAATAACATTACACTTACCTTTATTTGAAGACTTCTGGGTGGCTGGAAGACAGGAGGAGGGGAGAGGATGAAGGTACATTATTGTTTGGAAGGGGAATCCCCTGCCATGAAGACTTCAGGTACCAAGTCCTTTTCTGGGGTTACTTCCCTTCTTTGTTTTTTAATGGCACTGGGACCAGCTTGAGAGTCACTGGACCCCTGTTGCACAAAATATCTGTCCAGAGAGCTCTGTTTCTGGGTTTTCTTTAAAACTTCCCTAAAATGGGACACAACATTGTCATTGTACATGTTGCCAACACAGCCTGCAACAGCTTTGTCAGGGTGAAGTTCATCCATAAATGTTTGCACCTTTGTCCACATTGCACACGTGTCCTTAATCTTTGAAGAAGGCACCTTCCTCCATCTCTCTTCCTCCTCCTTTGAAGCAATTTCCTGAGCTGTGATCTGTTGCTGTTGCAGATGATCTTGCATTTCTGTAGTGGTTAGCTCTTCATCATGGTCCTCCACCAACTCTTCCACATCCTAGAAACTCACATCCAACCCCATGGAAGTCCCCAATGCCACAGTACTTTCCACAACTGGCATAGGCTCCTCAGGGTTAGCCCCAGACCCTTCAAAATCCCTCTCTTGTACATTGTGGTCACAATTTTCTCCAAGCAGAGTTCAATGTCCTGGAAGTCACTCCCTCCTAAGCCTTACCTATAAGGTTTATGCAATGGATGATATTAGTGATCTTTCCAGAACTTTCTTAGGGTCAGTTCAGTGTCTGAGGTCACTTCAAAGCACTTTTGCTTTGGTGTGCAGTTTTTTGAAGTTTGAAATGACCTGCTGGTCCATGGGCTGGAGGAGAGGAGTGGTATTAGGGGGCAAAAACTTCACTTTGATGAAATGAAACTCCTGCACCATTTGCTCTTCCAAGTCTTGAGGAGAGGCAGGAGCATTGTCCATTAACAGGAGGCACTTGAGTTCCAATTTATTTTCCAGGAGGTATTTCTTCACACTGGGGCCAAACACTTCATTAAACCAATCAAGGAAAATATCCCTTGTGACCCATGCCTTACTGTTAGCCTTCCTCATCACATACAAATTAGCCTTGGCAACACTGTTTTTCTTGAACACACTGGGATTTTCAGAGTGATACACCAGTAAAGGCTTTACTTTGCAGTCCCCACTAGCATTACTACAAAACATGAGAGTTAGCCTGTCTTTCATAGGCTTGTGTCCTGGCAGTGCTGTTTCCTCCTGTGTGATGTAGGTCCTCTTTGGCATTTTCTTCCAAAACAGGCCTGTTTTGTTATAATTGAACACTTTTTGGGTTTGAATTGTTCAGCCTCTATGTAACCTCTTGAATTCCTGAACATATTTTTCAGCCACTTTTTTGTCAGAACTGGCAGCCTTGCTATTCCTTACCACACTGTGTATGCCACTACTCTTCTTAAATCTCTCAAACCAGCCTTTGATGGCCTTAAAATCACAAACATCAGGACTCGTTACAGGCATTTTCTTTACGAGATCGTCATGCAACTGCCTTGCCTTTTCACAAATTATCGACTGCATTCCACTATCTCCTACTAACTGTTTTTGGGTAATCCACACCAACAATAACCTCTCCATTTCTTTCGAGGATTTGTGATCCCTTTTTTGTCAGCATATCTACCCTTTTTGCAACAACAGCTTCCTTGATTTCCTTTCCCTTCGCCACCGATCGAAGTGATGGTTGAATGGGGTTTGCCATTCATCCTGGCAAGCTCTGAAACATGCACTCCACTTTCATATTTTTAAATGAATTCTTTCTTTAATTCGATTGTGTTTCTCACTTTCTTTACCAAAGGGCTGTCACTAGCTTTCTTTGGGCCCATGGTGACTTATTTAGCAGTTGGAAGCACAAAAAAGAATGGAATATTACGAAATGTATAGTATGAATGCGTGTGATGATGGTCACTTGCTGATAAACAAGGGCACACTGAGTGTGAATGGTGTGGGAGACTGGCTTTGTGCACAGGCTGACGCTAGGATGTTGTTTGCACACGTACCAGACGATTGCCGAATCACGAGGCCAATCATGAACAGCAAGGCTATATTTTGCTGAAAAAAATTGACGAAAGTCGGATTTCACAAAAGTTGCAGCTGCCAAAACGCGGGGTTCATTGTATATTAAACAATGTTTTAGCAGGACCAAGTAATACATGACTTATAAAAAGATGCTTGTCTAGATTTTTTAATTCAGGTAGTAAGGGTAGTGTTTATCGCTTTTTATCTTATATGCCAACCAAACATCACAGTGTTCAGAGATGTGCAATGATGTGTTTACTGGGGAAAAATTCTGGTTCTGGATACTTTAGTGCCCTATATACAGTGCAGCATATTTTAGGCATTAATTTATTTGGCTTTGATAGGATTAAAATTCACTTCACACAGCATTTCAGTAACATTCTAATATGCTGCTTTGGATCAGACAGATACTTTAGGAATGTTTTAAGTGGTAAATACCACCAAAAAAAAAAACATACAGAATAGTTTTCTAGCATGAATAGTTTTTTACTACATCATTCATTTCCCACCAAGGTAGGGTGACCCAAAGGAAACACTCCCTCTCTCTCTCTCTCATGCAGTACATGTGTCTTGTCAGATGTGCACAAACATTGCAATTCAAATTACCCTGTAAACTGCAACATTCCCATACATACATTGGAGTACAGGCACTGTACTTCCCACCTCTAGAAATTTTAATCAGCTAAATATTAGAATAGATAGATGTTTGAAATGCTAAAACTAATGCAACTTTTTTATATTCTCTTCAGACTCAGGTGCATCTTGGTCCACTGGCAAGAATTTTGTCTCAAGAAGGATCTCCCCAGATATCTTCTTGGTTACAGACTATGTCAACAAGATTGATTCAGGTGGCATAGGCACTTATTGTTGAACATTATAACTAAAACTGTCACTTATTAAAAATTATAAGCATTATTTTAGAAATGTACCACTTACTGAAGTCATTCTTAATTTTGTCCTTTAAGTTTTTATGCATAAGCTTGTTTGTCAGTATTGACTAAGGAAATATCTGTTACTATGACACTGGCAATGCACCACAGGACTTGAATACCCCATCTCTATTGTACTGTATGCATGGACATAGGTAATGCCATCTCCACACTAGAAATATGTGCAGGTCTGTAAATGTGTCCATAAGATAGGATTGCATGTGCCTGTAGACTTGGTATACCTACAGAAAAATGACATAGTAAATATATTTTTAATGAGGTGGAAACCTAGCTCCTGTATATTGGTTGATGTTTAACCAATGAACAAGTCATAGGACAAAGACCCACATTAGGAGACACTTTCCTGTTTCATGATGATCAAAACACTTCCACATGTTTAACATTGAATCTGAAAATGAATGTGGCATAATAAAATTATTCTAATATGGTTATTGCCACTACATAGTCTCATTGAAAGCATTGTTTTTGTTTTTAGATGTAAAATAAACACTTGTATATAACCTTCAGTTGCAGAACACTACTAGTCTTAGATTAAGGTGACTTGTTGCTTTATGGATGTTTATTTATATATGGTGATATCTCCAGCTTAGACAATGAAATTGATGATTTGCAGTTGCAGAAAAAAGTTCCTGGACAACCTCTCCTAGGTAGAAATACTATCAGGCAACTCAGACATAGTAAACAAAGGAGTAAAGGCTATTTTCATTAATGAATTAGCACAGTTTGTAATGACAATGGTGACTGGTTGACTGTATTAATTGCCAGTACTTTATGTATTTATATAAAAGATTTATGAATGTAGATATAAATTAATTACCGTTCAGATATATCCAAGATTACAGAGCAGATCACACTAATGGGATTCTTCTCAAAAGCTACACACCAGACCCCTATCCTTACCCCTACAAATCCTTCCATTTCCTTTCTGTTATCTTCCTTACCCAGGCCCTCTACAACTGCTGATAACCCTGCTTAAAACTCCAAGATGATGATCCTCACCTATTTACCAATTCTCTTAACGACCTAGTCGAAGGTACAGAACTCGGTCATTAAGTGAGGAGTGCCTGTGTATATATATATATATATATATATATATATATATATATATATATATATATATATATATATATATATATAAATACAATAGACCATTATATTACACAGTAGTTACGTTTCTGAAAACACCGTGTTAGGTAAATCCCTGTGAGATAAACTGAAGAACTTGCAGGAAAAATAGGGTTACATTACTGGTAGCCCCAAAAAACCCAAACAACTTTTTTTTTAGACCTCCAGATCTTGCAAAAATAAAATTGAATATGTAATTCTTCATTGTCATGATGAATTATGCTGTTTTTATTGCTTAAGACTACAAATGCAACAGAAATAATAGTATTTCTTACCTTAAATTGTGGGTGTTGGTGTTTGTGGATGATTGTGAAGAGAGTGGAGAGTTATGCTGTGGTCCTACTGGTCTGAGGTGGATGGTAGAGGTCAGTCAGTCAGTAAGTCGGTCAGTAAGTAAGATAACATCCTGAGTTATTCATTACACAAACTCGTATATTTACCTCACTCTTTTTAATTGAATGAACTGACAATTCATTAAGGCCATAGGATCTTGCTATATCTACCACATGTGAGCCACTCTTAAGTTTGTCTAACATTGCAATTTTCTTCGTAACTCCAAGACTTAAACACTTAACCTTTTCTTGCCACTTTCAGAAACACTAGTATGCCTACTGGGTACTATGAATGCTTGGCAGATACAAGATCAAAATACAACTCACAAACACAGCTAGCTCTAAGGAGAGAATCGTACTAGATGCGTATGCATGGAAGGCTCGGACAGGGTTGGCAGGGGATGGTGGTAGGTCTCCCCCACCAGGAGACAATGGTCTGACCCTCAGCCAGGTGGCGGTCTGAGCTGGGGAAATATTCCGGGGCTACATTCAAATTTTTTCTCCGCCCACAAATGGAACCGTGTTAAGTTTATCTTATGTAGTGTAATACCCAAAAGTGGCAAATAAATCCATGTAATATAACAGTCTACTGTATATACGTATTTCAATATGCTGGCCGTCTCCCACCGAGACTGATTACAGACCTGTTAATAGTCGTAACACTTCCCTTACAATATATTTGGTAACCTTTTCAAATCATCATTTTTTTTTTTTTGTATAATATTGGATATAATATCCAAATGGTAATTAATTCATGTATGCATCATAAATCCATTTCTATATAGATGCACAGAAAGTACCGGTGATTAATTTTGTCAACCAGTCACCATTGTCATTACAAGCTGTGCTAATTCATTCATAAAATTAGCCTTTGCTCCTTTGTTTACTACATCTGAGTTGCCTGATAGTATTTCTGCCCAGGAGAGAGACTCTAGGAAATTTTTTTCCACAACTGTATATGTAAACTAATATGTATGTGAGTCAGTCAATTTTTATATTTGCAGAGAAAAAAAAAAGGCTGAATCCCATACATCATACAGCTTGTATTAGTCAATACATATGTAACTAGAAATCAATTTATCGTTTTAGCCTCAATATCGTCCAACAACAAAGATTATATTTGAGCATGTATTACTTATGGTTTCTTTTACCCTCGGGTGCTTCAACACAGTTTGAGAAATAAAACCTGTACAGGTTTAATACTTAAAATGATGATGATTGTATTATTATTATTATTCAGAATTAACATGAAAAGAACAAATAAATATTCAGGAAATACTGTTGTAAAGTAAGAATTTTTTTTGAAAATTGACTTCAAGTATATTCTTTCATATTATAATAATTGTTATTTTCACAAAGTACTAAACCCATAAACACTTTCCTAACAAGTTTTGTACTAAGCAGAATTCATTCATCAGGTATCAGTAGATTATACCACAAATTACTTTGCTGGGATCCACTATCTTTGTGATTATTTCCAGTTCAAGACAAGAGAGTTTAGGTAAGACCCCTATGGGATGAGTGGGGAAGATGGGACAGGCGAAGAACATCATTGGAGAGGAGTTTCTACAGTCATACAGGAAGTGCCAGGGCTTAACCCAGCAGTGAGGTGCTCATGGGGTGGACTGGAGAAACAGGAGGAGCAGGCTGTGTTTGCATTGGTCTTGTGGTAGTTGGAGGTCTTGAGAAGCTGGCAGCAGGCTAGGTTGCAGGAGAGGGCAGGCAGGTAGGAACATCAGAGGGCAGCTCACTAGTAGGTGTTATTGGAGTGATTAAGGAGGCAGGTTTGTACAGGAGCCATTTTCAAACTTTGAAGCTGCTGCTAGAGAGGTGGTATAGAGGCTTGATGAACTCCAGAACTTGGGTAAGTGTGAAGTGAAGTGGTGACTTGCAGGCAAACTAAACTGTTCCAGCACCAAGGCTTTTGTAGAGCTCACTGCAAGTCATGGTGTCAGCATTCATTGGAGAAGTGTAGAAGGTAAGGTTTTCCCATGAGGGTGTATTGGAGTTATCAATATTTTCTTCAGAAGTGGATTCAATGGGCAAATCTACAATGATGCTGGTAGGTGACTGTGGGTCGGCAGGAGCAGTGGTGGTGTATCAACAGGTTTGAAGACATGGGAGGTGGTGGTTGAGGCAGAATAATCAGCATTGTTGGTGGTGGAGGCGGTTGAAGTTTTTGGAACGGTTGCTTGAGCAGAAAGAGACAGGTCTGCAGGTGCAGTGATGTTCACAACATTGGGAAGAATCTTGAGGATGTCAGCTGAAGGTGTGGAGTCTGGGATACTGAAGGCAGGCATGTTGTTCAGACTGAAGTTTGTTTATGGTGGTGTTGAAAGTGCTGGAGTTTGCTGTATTTGCAAGGTGCGCATATACCATGCAATACAGCACCTTGGAAGGAGCACCGTCCGGAAGTGGAGAGAGTGAGTTGCAGGGCAGAGAGGTCTGTTTGAGTAGCTTGAACAATCTAGTAGTGTTAGACTGAAGATTCATGATTGCAGCATAGGTAGGCGATCTAGAGGAGCTCTTCTTATTTTCTTCTTGAATTTTCTTGCTCACAACTTCTTTTCTTAGGGGACACTTAGCTGCAAGGGTATGATGGGTAGGTACCCTTACAGTTTAGGCATGTTGGAGTAGTATTGGTGATGGTGCAAGCTTTGTAGTCGTGTCCTTCACTTCCGCAGTTGGTACAAAATTTCTTGTTCTTGATGGGGCAGTCTTGTAGTGTGGTTGTATGAATAGCAGATCCAGCAGGGAGAGAGGTTTAAAACGTTCAGGCTCAATGTTACTAGAGTGTATGTAGTGGTATGAAATGGCCAGTCCATCAGATAGAGCTTGGGCAGCCATAGCAATGTCTTTGAAGGTGATCTTGAGCATAGATGAGGCATCATTAAGTATCTTTGTAATGGTTTCCACCGAAGCCCAGATATTCTGTTCCTCGATGGATGATTTGAGTTCTTCGTTTGAGAGGGCAGTGACGATCCTGTCACGATATTTTGTGAAGACGGAACATTTCATCTTCAAGTAAGGACAGGTGGAGATTTCAAAGCCAAGGTCATTCAGAGTCTTTTTGGAAGTAGTAGACAGGATTTTTCGGCCTCCTCATCACAGTTACTGGCAACAAGGAAGGCATCCTTCAGGATGCCTGCATCCTTCAGGATGCTGCAAGTGCAAGCTTTGAGGCTACGAAATCGTAATGACATGATTGCAAACATCATGAAAGTGTGTTTTTGATTGATTATAGTAAGCATGAGGAAACACTGCTATATTATTTTGTTATAACATCTGTCTTGTTTGTAGGTAGTAGGTTGGTAGACAGCAACCGCCCAGGGAGGTACTACCGTCCTGCCAAGTGAGTGTAAAACAGAAGCCTGTAATTGTTTTACACGATGGTAGGATTGCTGGTGTTTTTTCTGTCTCATAAACATGCAAGGTTTCAGGTACGTCTTGCTACTTCTGCTTACACTTAGGTCACACTACACATACATGTACAAGCATATACAGTGGAACCTCAAAAATCGAACTGCTCCCAACTCAACCAATTATGTAAGTGTATTTTTGTAAGTGCTTTTATAAGTGTATATGTGAGGGTCTGAAATGGACTAATCTAATTTACATTATTCCTGATGAGAATAAATTCGTTTGGTAGCGGCACTTGAACAGCCTTCTGGACCGAAGAAAGTTCGATATTTGAGGTTCCAGTGTATATACACACCCCTCTGGGTTTTCTTCTATTTTCTTACTAGCTCTTGTTCTTGTTTATTTCCTCTTATCTCCATGGGGAAGTGGAACAGAATTCTTCCTCCGTAAGCTATGCATGTTGTAAGAAGCGACTAAAATGCCAGGAGCAAGGGGCTAGTAACCCCTTCTCCTGTATATATTACTAAATGTGAAAGGAGAAACTTTTGTTTTTCCTTTTGGGCCACCCCGCCTCGGTGGGATACGGCCGGTGTGTTGAAAGAAAGAAAGATCTGTCTTGTTAATTATTACAGACATAAATCTCAAGATATTCATTTTGATGCAGTATTTAATGTACACAACAGTACATAACTAGTTTAAATAGTTTTCTCTGTGCTCTTACTATAGAAAAAAATGTTTCTAAGTACAGTGGACCCCCAGTTAACGATATTTTTTCATTCCAGAAGCATGTTCAGGTGCCAGTACTGACCGAATTTGTTCCCATAAGGAATATTGTGAAGTAGATTAGTCCATTTCAGACCCCCAAACATACACGTACAAACACACTTACATAAATACACTTACATAATTGGTCGCATTGGGAGGTGATCGTTAAGCGGGGGTCCACTGTATACTTGTACTGAGAATTTGTTGGGGGCACTGTGGAGGCTGAACACTGATATACAAAGCTGTACTTTTACTACATCTGTGTATTTATAATAATTCAGTGATAAAGTATTGGCAGTAAATTCGATGGCAGTTTCTTTGTAGGGACTAATCTAGTTAAAAATATCATAGATACAAAGCAATGTCAGCAGTGTTACCCTCCTATTGAGCATTTTTAACCCTTAAGCTGCCAGTGACATCAATTTACACCAAAAAAATGCCATTGACTTAAATTTCCACTAAAATCCTTTGGCCTCCAAAAATGGTCCATAATTATTATTATAATCATAACCAAACGTTAAACCCATAAGGATCAATTCCACGGAGAAAACAGATCTGTACAGTATAAAAAAAATTATGTGCAGGGCGTTGTGGGAGCCAGTAAATGCCGATCATATTTGTTTAGTGTTTACATTTTAATGTGATTGAACAATGAATATAAGAGAATTATTATTATTATAATCAAGGGGGAAGCGCTAAACCCGGAGGATTATACAGCACCTGGGGGGGGGATGTGGAAGGCATTCAGGCTTAATTCGGGGAACTGGAGCACAGATCCAATTCAATATAAGAGAAAAATATGAAAACATTGATTGTGTAAAACATATGACCCATAAAAAAAAAAAAAAAAAAAAAAAAATTGGGAAAATTTATTTATTTTTATTTATTTTTTTTTTTTTTCATATAGCAACTTCATATGGCAAGCACTCTTATTACCATAAAATGATCATTGTCACTTTCAAACCTTCATATTTTAGTAAGCATTAATCAGATTTCACTCATTCTAATCTTATTACACTTAAAATCAGGAAGAACTTTATAAGATAAAAATAATTTTATTTTCAAAATTGCTGGCACTGGGGCACATTTACTGTAGACCCTTCAGCAGTTTAACGGTTAAGGGGTGGGTGGGGGGCAGGTGCTTGGAAAAAATCGATGTTGGAACCTTTTACATACGCATTGCACATTTCCTTTAACACGCAATAATAATAATAATAATAGTTGTAGTAATATTATTACGATGGTACATTCACAGAAAAGGGCTAAACCTGTAGGGGATATACAGTGCTGAGAAAAGGGAGGTACTGTAATCAGATCTGATCCAAGGAAGAAAGTACATACTATACAGTAGTTCCATTTCCTTTGATCAAGAGCTGTTCACCAACATCAAGGAATCTTACCTGAAGAGTTTATACAGGTAAGCAAAGAACATGAACTGAACACATTGTTATTAAGTGATGAGCTAGCAAGCTCAAGGTGGTCAACAACTCATTTCACGTGATTGATTTTTGTCTTTGTTACAATTATTAAATAAGTTGCCCTATGGTTCTTCGATGTAAATGAAGAGCTTTTGATCTAAGGAATCAAACCTGCCTTCCATTTCCTTAGAACAAACCTGATTGCCTCCAGTTCCTCTAGTAAAAGGTTTGGGTTCATTGCTCCCCAAGAATATCTTGATGCAAGGAATCAGGCATCCTCCCCTTCCTTGGATTGCACCAGTGCTATCCATTCTCCCAAACACCAAATGACCCCTTGCAGGTTATATGCTTTCCCCTAAATATTATAATATTAAATCAGTGATATGGATGTACTGTATTTTAAACTGAAATAAACTTTATTTTCCATTTGTTTTTATTGTACCAAGAATTAGCTTAAAAGCACAATACCCATAAATTTAATGATGCCAGTGAGGACTTGATCCAAGAAGTGGACTTATCCTTCCCTTCCTTGGATCAAATCTAATAGTCTCCCATTCCCCTAGTACCTGTATGACTCCTACAGGTTTAGTGTTGCCCCATGAATGCATTTATATCTATAATTACCATGACTGTCCTTATTGCCAAGACAATCGTGCTGAGAAAACATTAATCCTCCTAGGATGACGCGTATAGCCCTTGTGGCTTAGCGCTTCTTTTTGATTATAATAATAATAATATCCTCCTAGGAAATGTACTTTGATACCAGTGTGGAGCTCTTAATTCAAAGAACTGAAACTACATTCCCTTTCTTTGGGTCAAATCTGATTGCCTCCCTTCACCAGGATTGGCTCCCCTTAGTAATACTCACCAGGATTGGTACAGACCTAATGGGTTTAGTGCTCCCATGAATGTAGTGATAATACAGTATTCAAAAATAAGTGCTAAATTCACATAGGCCACACAATACTGTGACTCCTGAGATAATTATTGTGTGTCAACACACGAAGTGTGAGATTCTGTTGAATAGGAGGGCCCCATTTGTACAGCTTTTATGTTCCTGACCTCGTACAGTAGATGAAAATCAGCAGGTGGAAAAGAGCATTTTTTCATTATCGAATGCATCTAAAACACCTCAGTGTGTTTACACTATCATGTAAGTGCTCAATACAGCTAGGAATAAAAAAAAATGAATACACTTAATACAATGTTTACCTTAAAGTATGGTGCCAGTCACCCTTCCCTTACGCAACTGTTATACAAAAACGGCGGAAAAATGGTAAAAGTACCAATGAACAATGGCTCAGTTGAGAGCCAATGAAAATGTAGAACAAAAAAAGGGTGCTGTATATGCTGGGCCCTCCTGTAGACTAGCAAGCCAGCAGAAGACCTTGGTCACAAGGACAAATGCAACACTCTGGATCATATGACTAAAACCAGTTCATAAGGAATGTTCTTAATACCCTACTTCCTTTATTTTAATTTTAACCCTGTACCCTTCAAATTTATTTTAATCAAGAGAAAGCACCAAATCCATAGGGCCATGTAGCACCAGGGAAATAGAAGGCATTTAGGTTCAGTCCAAGGAAGGGGAGGATAAGTTCTTTGGATCAAGATCAAATTGCCTGCATCAAGGCACCTCCCTTGTGAGATGTACCTTACAAAGTGGGTTGCTTGATGCCAGTGAAGAGTTTTTGATTAAAAATCTGAGCTATTCTTCCTTTCCTTGGATTAAAACCGATTGCCTTCCATTACCCGGGGCATTGTATTTTTTTTTTTTTTTTTATTTATTAACAATTTGAGCATACATACAGAGGTACAAAAAATACAGATAAGAGCAGCATGCCAAAGCCACTTATACTATGCATAGCATTACGGGCTGGCTTAAAATTAACTAAGCAATGATGAAATCAGTGATAATACATTATTGTAAACAGATAACTATAAAGCACAAATGAGTATTACAAAGACAGGTCATATGGTTGCATGGATTGTTGTACATTCAGTCGTATGGAGTATTCTGTTAGGTAGTGTATTTAAAAAATAATAGTTAGATTGGGTTTTAGGTTTAACATTTATGTGATATAATTGTGAGAAACATTTAAGATATACAATTTATAAGGTTCAGTTATTCAGTATTTATTTGGTTTTGGGTAAGTAAGTGATCTTTGAGAAGAGACTTGAATTTATAAACAGGTAGTGTTTCTTTTATATTTACAGGTAATGAATTCCAGATTTTAGGGCCTTTTATGTGCAATGAGTTTTTGCATAGTGTGAGATGGACACGAGGAACATCAAAGAGTGATCTGTGCCTTGTGTTTATGGTCATGTGTTCTGTTGAGGTTGGCAAGGAGATGTTTGAGGGGAGGTTAATATCAGAGTTAAGTGTTCTATGTATGTAATAGGTGCAGTAATAAGTATGGATGTTTTGTATGGTGAGTAGGTTTAGTGTATTGAATATTGGTGGAGTGTGCTGCCTGTAGTGAGAATTTGTTATCATTCTAACTGCAGCCTTTTGTTGGTAATTAGTGGTCTGAGATGGTTAATTGTTGTTGAGCCACATGCACAAATTCCATAGGTGAGATAGGGGTAAATAAGAGAGTGATATAGGGCCAGGAGGGCTGACTGTGGAACATAGTACCGTATCTTCGATAGCATGCCTACAGTCTTGGAAATTTTCTTAGAAATTTTGTTGTATATGTGTATGAAATTTGAGTATTATCAAGGTGATTCCTAAGAATTTTCCCTCTGTTAGCTTTGTGATAGGTGATCCATTTATCATTATGTTAAGAGGGACATCTGTAGCTCTGTTACCAAACTGAATGAAGTAGGTTTTGTCAATGTTTAGTGTAAGTTTGTTAGTCCTCATCCAGGTAGATATTTTCTGTAATTCGGTATTTACAGTATTGGCTAGCGTGACTGGGCTCGGGTGAGAGAAGACGTATGTAGTGTCATCTGCAAATAGTGTGGGTTTGAGTAATTGCGAAGCATTTGGAAGGTCATTTATGTATAGGAGAAAGAGAAGAGGGCCAAGGACACTTCCCTGTGAGACACCAACTGTAATTGGTTGCGCAGAAGAGTTTGCCCCATTTGCGTACACATATTGGCTTCTGTTGCTGAGGTATGACTTGAGGTAGTTGAGGGAGTGCCCTCTTATACCATAGTGTGACAATTTTACGTGGAGCAAGTCATGGTCAACTGTATCAAAAGCTTTACGTAAGTCAATGAAGATCCCCAGTGGGACTTCTTTTTCTCTATTGCAGTGTATATATGTTCTAGCATGTGTATAATAGCATCATTAGTATTTTTTATTAGGCCTGAATCCAAATTGGCAGGGGTTGAGTATGTTTTGGGAGATAAGGTAGGAGTAGATTCGTTTATGAATTAATTTTCGAAATTTTTGAGAGAGGGTGTAAGTTGGATATTGGCCTATAGTTATTCAACTCTGTTTGGTCTCCTCCTTTGTGAATCGGGGTGACCCTTGCTATTTTGAGTACTGTAGGGAAGGTGGAGGATTCTATGGATTTGTTAAAGAGTGTTGCAATGATTGGTGATAGCACTTGTGACAGTTTTTTGTATATAAAGGGTGTAAGGTATTTAAATCTCCTGCCTTGTTTTTTAGTGCGTTGATAATAAGGGAGACTTCGTATGGGTTAGTCGGAGCTAGGAACAGTTGTGTTCGGGTAGTTGCCGGTGAGGTAGTCATTTGGTGGGGTATCTGAGCTTGGGATTTTATTGGCAAGGTTTTGTCCTATAGTGGAGAAGAAATCATTGAGTCTGTTTGCTGTTTCTGTTGGTGGGAGTTCATCTGATTTTGCTAATTTTATTTCGCTATTTCGTGATATCTTTTTTGTTCCCAGAATTTCTGATAGGGTTTTCCAGGTCTTTTTTATATCACCTCGTAAGTTGGATAATCTATTCTCATAATACAATTTTTTTGCCCTTCTTATCAGGCTGGTTAGGATTGACGAGTAACGTTTTGTTTGGTCTCTGGTTATGTGACCCATTCTGTACTGTTTTTCATATTGGTGTTTTGTATTTATGGATTTGAGAATGCTGGGTGTTAGCCAAGGACTGTTCAGTCTCTTAGCTGTCATCTGTTTAGTTTTTTTAGGGCAGTGCTTGTTATAGAGGTATTGGGTCTTTTTTAGAAAATTATTAATACATTCGTCAATATCTGTATAGATTTCTAGCTCAGTGTGCCAATCAATGTTTGCTACTGCTGTTGTGAAGTTATTAATGGCTGCCTCATTGTGAAGTCTGAAGGTGACTTTAGTAGTGTCTTGGGGTAGTTTACCAAGAGTTGTTATGAGGAAAGTAGGGTAGTGGTCTGTGGTATTATCTGTAATTATGCCTGATTTTAACCCTTTGAGGGTCGACAGGCCCTCTCCGAAACTCGTTCTCAGGGTCGGCCAAATTTAAAAAAAAAAACATTATTTTCTCTTATGAAAAGATAGAGAATCTTTTCCCGATCATAAAGACACCAAAAGTTTGAAATTTGATAGAAAACTTACGGAATTATGCTCTCGCAAAGTTAGCGGTCTCGGCGATTTTGCCCACTTTGAGCCCCATTTTCGGCCAATTTCACTGTACTAGTCGACAAAAAACATGAATATTTCGCTAGAACTCCATTTTTTCTATCGAATGGGTGCAAGAAACCACCCATTTATGAAATTCAACTATCCAGTACAGTGGTCAGAATTTAGCAATTTTGCCAATTTCACACAAATTTCAAAAGATGCCAATTTCCGAATAGGGTCCAGAATAAACAAGAAAGACATTCCTGGCACTAAAATGACATTTCCTCTAGTCATTAGTCACGTCTCAAGGCCCCTCTTATATTCTTTTGCTTTCCACTTTGAATTTTTATTTTCACAAAAAATATAAGATTTACTGTTATGCAGACTACTGCATTAGTGTAAAAAATGATATAAATATTATTGGTGCACTTGTGAAAGAATATTAGACTCACCAGTTGACGTGTATTGCACGCTTGGCACGATTTGTTTACTTTTGAAGTTTGGCAAAAATCGAACATTTCTGCTACTTTGAGCTCAATTTCAAGGCACCTTTCATTGTAAAACCAGTCAAAATCATCTCAATTTCTGTAACATGTCTTTCATTCTATAAAATGAGACCAAGAAAACTAGAATACAACAATAAATACCATACGAAAATACACTGCAAAGTCGCTGATTTATTAAAAAAAAATGGTCAAAGTTTTTTTTTTCTCATTATGCACTGTGTGCTGCAGGATTTTTTTTAGACTGTGCACACTGACCACATAGACCCATTCTTTCATATGAAGGCCTACCAGCTTTCTCCCACTAGATTTGAGGCCGCTAGAATTTATGAGTACTAGTACGTCAAAAACCCCTACGCGTAAGACGTACTAGTACGACCAAAACCCTCAAAGGGTTAAAGGGGAT